ATCCTACAAGAGAGGTTTGTGTTCGCTCTTGAATTAATGAGTCTTGAGTAAGTAGTCTCTCAAATTTCTTTCCAAATTCTTTCTTTTTTTTTCAAGTGGATGTTTGAATTAGAACTTCTGGCTCTTATTCTCTTGCTTTACTTAGAATCCTCCGTGAGTTATGTTTAGTCAACTAATGTGTGAAAATCCTGTCATTTCATGAAGAGACTTCTGTTTGGAATACAAGTATCAAGACTTGAAACAGAGCAAGTGGCCGTGTATAAAAATACCTACATCTATTCCCATATTGCAGGGTACTAACTATTAGGTGGCTTCTATTCCTTAGCAGCTTCATCAGTAACACATGTGTCTGGTATAATGTAAGGCAGAAACTAATCAGCCCTTTGTTTTTTTAGAGAGAGATTTTTGTTATAGGGCATGTGCACTTGTCAGACAGACAGAAAGCGAGAAGTCATCCCCCAGGGGAATTGGCCATTCCACACTCCCTTCTCTTCTTGGGATATTGGGCATGTATGCACACATGCCCAGAGTTTCAAACCTCCAGGTCTGGGACCCAAACCATGATCAGCCATGTGGAAGTCCAGCAAACTAACCATTACATCATCTGCTGGTCCCAATAAGCCCATTACAAAATTTGGCTGGGGCTGGCAAGTGGCATGGTGGTTAAGGGCACTAGACCCACATGGCCGACCGTGGTTCAAGTCCTGGACTTGCTTTCTTACATTCTGACTTTCTCACTTTCCCCCTCTCTCTCTCACACTCTGGTCAAATTTAAATGAATAAACAAATAAAGTTAATTTTTTAAAAAAGAAATCAAAATTAAAAAGAAAAATTTCTTTTTGTTTACTTATCTATTTATTTGTTGTGATTTTCCAACCTGCCAGGTCTGAGACTCAGACCACGGTTGGCCATGTGGGAATACAGCACCTTAGCAACCACACTACACCTGATGGTCCCCTAGTCAGCCCATCTGGAACCCACATCAAAAGGAGGCTAACTCTCTGTTCAGTCCATTTTCACAAAAATTTAGAGAATGCTCTGTATTGTCCAACCTGCCCAGGATCCCTAAGGAGAAAAATGAGAGCCAAATCATGAATTGATTTGTACACATTTGGAATATATTTGATAGTAAATATAATCACTTCTTGATCTTTTGGCTAAGATCAAGGATAATATTAATGTTAATAATTTGTATTTATAACATTAGTATAATTCATAATATAAGTATAAAGTATAGTATAACATTAAATAGACAAACCAAGTTCTAGACTGGATTTAGTACCTTGGTTGTCCAACTCACTTATGTCCTTCCATGGTTCCATGAACTATAATCATCTGCCTTCCTTATATTCTTATAAGGAAGAACTGCAAAACTTTATAAAATATAAATGTCATAATTAAAATTATCAATATCACAATAAAATAATGAACAATGACACAAAGGTTACCCATAATGACAAACTATTCAAACAAGAACTGCCTCAAGTAGCAATCAACTAAAAACCCAGATAGTAGGAAAGTTATATACCGACTATCCGCACTCTATGGTAGAGAGCAAAAAATTGGAGGACATAAAAGCAGTGAAGGTACTTAATGAGAATAGGACAGTGTGGAATGGGGGAGGTGAAAAGAAGAGGATAGAGAAAGATAGCAAGAGAACAATAGAGAGGCAGGACGTTAGTGAGAAACAGATATGGCTTATTAACTGTTGATGACATGTATAGTATTCTCAACTGGATTGGTCTGAAAAGTATTTCATGATGGGCAAAGTCTTTTTACAAGCAAAATGAGAAATAGCGATTGACTGTTTTAAAAAAATAATTAGAATAATAATAATAATGGTTGGGGAAAACATAGAAAAGATATTGAATGTTGAAGCGGGGAGATTAATGTCTCTGTATTGACTGACATGCATGGCATTCCCTTTTGAAAAAGCAATGTAACACACTGTAAAGTTATATGCAATCCAATGTAATATAAAGAAGATTATGATGATAAAAAAAAATAGATCTCTTATTCCAGATGAGATGTCATGTTGTAGAAAGCAGTATGGCAGTTCTTTTAAAAACTAAACAGGGGACCAGCAGATGGCAAAACTCTTGCCGGGCACATGTGTGTGCATGCCCAAAATCCTGAGAGAATAGAGGAGAAGGAATCGCAGTGTGGTCATTCTGTCTCTCTGTCTCTCCAGCCAGCACACATGCCCTTTAGCAAATATCTCCCTAAAAAAATAAATAAAAATAAACAGAATTACCATATGGTCTGGCAATTGTACTTCTGTACATATAGCCAAAAGAATTCAAAGCTGAGACTTGAATTTGGACACGATTGTTCATACCAGCATTATTCACAACAGTCAAAATGTGGAAACTACCCAAATGTCATTGATTGACTGATAAGCAAATTGTGGCATATACATACAATGGAATATCAGTTAGGCTTAGCAAAGAAGGAGATTCTGGCACATGCTACAGCATGAATGAGCCTTGAAGATACTATGCTAAGTGAAGTAAGCAAAATATAAAAGGACAAACATAAAAATAAGGCAAATAGAAAAGGACAAACATATAAAAATAGGACAAATGTGAAAAGACAACATTGGCTAATTTCACTTAACTGAGTTACCTAAAATAGTTAAATTCATAGAGACAGGAAGTAGAATGATGGTTGTCAGGAGCTAAGAGGAAGGGATATAGGGAATTAGTGTTTAATGAGTATGGAGCTTCCATTTGGAAAGATTAAAAAGTTCTGGAGATAGGGCCAGTAGATGGTATGATGGTTAAGGCACTGGATCCCACATAGCTGACCATGGTTTGAGTCCTAGAGCTGGTGGTTTGACAATCACTCCAGGCACATTTGCATGCCTGCCTAATACATATAGAGGAGAACAGAGGAGAAGGGACTGTGGCATGGCCATTCCCCTGACAGGATGATTTCTCACTTTCCCTCTCTCTCTCTTTCTCTCTCTGTTTTTCTCTGGTGAGCACATGTGTCCTATGGCAAAAACCTTAAAAAGAAAATTAAAGTTCTAGAAATGGATGCTCGTGATGTTGGTGACATTACATACCAATGTAAATGTTCCTTATGCCACTGAATTATACACTTCAAAATGGTTGAAGGGTAAATTATAACGTATGAATATCTTAAACAGTAAAAAATGAGATTTTATGTTGACTCCATGGCCTGGTAGTTAAGGTAGCCGGATCCCATTTAGCTGACCCCACAGTTGAAGTCCTAAACTTGGCAACTTGATGAACCTCCCAGGTGCATGTGTGATTCTGCCAAAAATTCTGAAGAGAGAGAGACAGCAGACAGGGATTGTGGTGTGACCATTCTCTGCAGGGATGGGTGCTTTCTCCTCTCTCTCTCTTTCTCTCTCTCTCTTTCTTGCAAGAGTATGTGCCCTCTAGGGAAAAAAAAAATGAGGTCTCATATTCCTCCATTAAGAATAACAATTTAGGCCAATTCGTTTCTTTTTTCTTTTTCTTTCTTTTTTTTTACTTGGAGAGGTTTTTGCTATAGGGCGTGTGTGCTTGCCAGAGAGAGAGAGAGAGACAAAAAGCGAGAAATCACCCCCCTGCCAAGGGGGATGGGCATGCCGCAACCCCTTTTCCTCCATTCTCCTCTTGTTATCTTGGTCATGGGCGCACATGCTCCCAAGGTGAGTTTAAGCCACTGGGTCCGGGACTCAAACCGTGATCAACTACATGAGAGTCCAGAGACACAGTCATTATGCCATCTGCTGATCCCACAATTTGTTTTTTTAATAAGTGAGAAATAGAGAATTTTGAGAGCATTTAGGCTTATAACCGCAAAACAGATTTTAAATACCTCATATTCTGATCAAATGGACGTGTGTTCGTTATTCAAATCGATTTTTCTTTTTAGTTAGTGAGAACAGCAGACACGTGTTTTGCACAAGGTAGTCTCTCAGAAGTATGACATCCAAATTTAGATTTCTCTTTATATCAAAAAGCAATATGGGGGCTCTCCTGTATCTTAAAACGAAGATTACATCGTTACTGATATCATACAGTTTTGATTTAAGGTATATTTTTTATTCTTTGAAAATTGGCAAGCTTTGTATATGTATAGTAACTGTTTCTACCAAAGACTCTTACCAAGAGAGATAGTAGAAAATCATTGTGGTTTTGCACAGTCCCTTTCTTCTGAAAAGTTCGTTTAACTTTCACATTTTCCATCTTATGTTATTATTGCATAAGGCAATTTTACACATGAAAAAAACTAACACACAGAGACGATATGTGAGAGCCACCACACTGACCGGGATGAAAATTAGATTAATTAATGTATTAATGAGAGGCGTATAGTGTGCTATGCTCCTACCTTTTTGCTGCTAGGATGCAAAATTATACGTGTCCCACTTGCCAAGGAACTTAGTGGTGCTGTGGAGGCAGATAGGTAATGGGCGGTTGAGGGACAGTGTGCTAGGTACTCCAGTGAGGTTTTCCTCAGGCCACAGTGATGGCAGAGACCAGCACAAGGAAGGAAAGTGAAGGCTCACCAAAGCTTCCCCAGGGGAGCTGAGGCTGCAACTGAGACCAGAATGGTAAGTAGTAGCTACAGGTCAGATTAATAGTGCAAAGTCAAATATTCAGGAACATCTAGCCCATTAGTCTTTCCACAGAACCACCATAACTATGGAACAGTAGTAAGTTTGCAAAATATATTGGTTGTCAGAAAAGTCGAGACGTATTTTTTCTATGTTTTTCAATGTGAAAAGCCAGCATGACTTTTCCGATAACCCGCTAATTTTACCATATTCATTACTAAGTATACTAGTAACCAGTTACCATCTACTTGAGACTTTTCATTTTGCAGGTGAAGAATGTCAAACCTTGACTCTCATTGGCCCTTGTCTGGCATTTCCTTTTTCCAGCCTGAGGCGTGCCCGTGAAACTGGTCTCCTCCTCATGGGTTGGTGTCCCTGAGGGTTTCTCTGAGCTCTGCATCACCCTGTGTTTTTGTGCCTTTAACAGTTTCACCACCAAAGATGACCTGGGGAAGGCAGCACCTCACCTCCTTACTCCGGGGCTGATGGGAGAATCTTCAGAGTCCTTCAGTGCCCCAGAGGATGAAGGCCAGAGAGAATCCCAGGCCGGTGACTCTGACTCTGACGGGCCCATCTTGTACACCGATGATGACGAGGAAGACGACGATGAAGATGGCAGTGGAGAAAGTAAGACTGTTTTCAGAGACAGGGAGGAAAGGGGGCAGTGGACAGAGCAGCTGCATTTTGTAAAGAACAGAAGCCTTGTTAGGAACTAGACATTTGATGTTTTCTCTCCCCGCATCTTCCTTTCTCAGTTAGAAACATGAGGGGACTTTAAAACATTCGTGGAATGATGGAATTAAAATAAGACTTTATTTTGGTGCAAAATTTTTGAGACCCATGGATAGTTTTTTTTAATAACACATTTTTTTCTGTGAACTTTTTGAAGGTTCTTCATGTAGTTTTAAGTTTAGCTTTTGATGGCTGACTTTTCCAGAAGATGGTGCCTCACTGCCAGTCAGGCCTTTGTATCTGAGTCTGACATATTTGTACTTGTACAAGGAGCCAAAGCTTTCTCATGGCATAGGCCTTTCTTGGGATGATCAGAGATGGCCCCTCCACTCTGGAAACTTTCCTGAGAGAAAGCATCAATACAGGATTCACTGGCTAAATCATGAAGGCGTTTGAGAAATTCATTTGCATAGATCCTGGATTTGAAAGAGGGGGAGGGGGAAATAAGTAGGAATGACAGTTACTATTTTAGAATTAAAAATAGTCTCTCATCCACAATCAATAAGCTAGGAGCCTCCTAAGAAGGAATGATACTAAAGGGGATAAAGCCCATCATTTATGTATAACTTACCAAACTGGGAAGTGCCATTATTATTTTTTTTTCTTAATTTCTGAGCCGGATGACTTGGGAGGGATCCATTATAGGACTGAATTTACAGATTAGGAAAAGCTATTACTGTATTAAACAGGAGTCTGTCTAATTCCCTCTCATTTTTATGGAGCAAATAAATAAATAAATAAAATGATCATCCCTCTAGTATTATGATCTATTGAGATTTTAAGTATTCCTGGGTAACTGAGGGTTAAAACATTGGTTTAAAAAGTAAACTCTTTGCCAGCACGGTATCTGAGTGGAAAAAAGGAGAAGGCAAAGATGAACTGTACAGTTAAGTAAATGGGTCAAGTTTGTGAGACTTGGAAAAGAAAAAATAAAGTAAAAAACATTATGCAATCAGTAAGTCCCACGATCCACCATCTCAGCAAAATAAACTTCAGCTGTTGCTCCCACATGATGAGGTGATACTTCCAAGTTTTTCATGGTATCCCAGTAGTTTTCAGAACATTTGAAAAAATAGTGCTTTCCATCTTTTTCAGAATGAACTATATCCAACTCCAAGTCTTTTTCCTTAGGTTGCTTAAGATCCCTCGTTCATGTGTGGATAAGGAATTCGGTCTGGGCTCTGTTTACAGTCCACGCCACATGTAAGCTTAGTGCTGCTGGCTGAAAGCCACTCTCTCTGCATCTCTGCCCTTTCCAACCCAGGTGCTTTGGCAAGTAAAATCCGTCGGAGGGATACTCTTGCTATCAAACTTGGCAACAGACCGTCTAAGAAAGAGTTAGAGGACAAGAACATCCTGCAGCGCACATCCGAAGAAGAAAGGCAGGAAATCCGACAACAAATCGGAACCAAATTAGTCAGGTAATGGCTGAAGCTTTAGGGCAACACGAACTAATTCCTGCTTTGTTTCTCTCCCAAAGTTTCCTACCTACCTGAGGTTGTTGTCGATTCCTTGTGCACGGGTGCATTGAACCTATTTGTTCTTACTAAGTTGGTCTTGGATGTGAACTTCTCAAAGAGCCGATGGCTTAGAGACTGCAGAGCCTGATCTAGGGGTGAACATTTTTTTAAAATGGTTTTTGCCATACGACACATGTGCTCTCTGAAGAAACACCGTATTTCTTCATAGTTTATCACAAGAAAGGGTCAAAATATGAAGTATCATATACCTGTCTCAATAAATGTCCAAGTGAGAATCTTCCCTCCAAGGGATGGCCACGTTGCAATTCCTTCTCCATTCTCCTCCTGGGACTTTGGGCATGCATGCACAAAGAGTATGTGCCCTCTAGGGAAAAAAAAAATGAGGTCTCATATTCCTCCATTAAGAATAACAATTTAGACCAATTCGTTTCTTTTTTCTTTTTCTTTCTTTTTTTTTACTTGGAGAGGTTTTTGCTATAGGGCGTGTGTGCTTGCCAGAGAGAGAGAGAGAGACAAAAAGCGAGAAATCACCCCCCCGCCAAGGGGGATGGCCGTGCCGCAACCCCTTTTCCTCCATTCTCCTCTTGTTATCTTGGTCATGGGCGCACATGCTCCCAAGGTGAGTTTAAGCCACTGGGTCCGGGACTCAAACCGTGATCAACTACATGAGAGTCCAGAGACACAGTCATTATGCCATCTGCTGATCCCACAATTTGTTTTTTTAATAAGTGAGAAATAGAGAATTTTGAGAGCATTTAGGCTTATAACCGCAAAACAGATTTTAAATACCTCATATTCTGATCAAATGGACGTGTGTTCGTTATTCAAATCGATTTTTCTTTTTAGTTAGTGAGAACAGCAGACACGTGTTTTGCACAAGGTAGTCTCTCAGAAGTATGACATCCAAATTTAGATTTCTCTTTATATCAAAAAGCAATATGGGGGCTCTCCTGTATCTTAAAACGAAGATTACATTGTTACTGATATCATACAGTTTTGATTTAAGGTATATTTTTTATTCTTTGAAAATTGGCAAGCTTTGTATATGTATAGTAACTGTTTCTACCAAAGACTCTTACCAAGAGAGATAGTAGAAAATCATTGTGGTTTTGCACAGTCCCTTTCTTCTGAAAAGTTCGTTTAACTTTCACATTTTCCATCTTATGTTATTATTGCATAAGGCAATTTTACACATGAAAAAAACTAACACACAGAGACGATATGTGAGAGCCACCACACTGACCGGGATGAAAATTAGATTAATTAATGTATTAATGAGAGGCGTATAGTGTGCTATGCTCCTACCTTTTTGCTGCTAGGATGCAAAATTATACGTGTCCCACTTGCCAAGGAACTTAGTGGTGCTGTGGAGGCAGATAGGTAATGGGCGGTTGAGGGACAGTGTGCTAGGTACTCCAGTGAGGTTTTCCTCAGGCCACAGTGATGGCAGAGACCAGCACAAGGAAGGAAAGTGAAGGCTCACCAAAGCTTCCCCAGGGGAGCTGAGGCTGCAACTGAGACCAGAATGGTAAGTAGTAGCTACAGGTCAGATTAATAGTGCAAAGTCAAATATTCAGGAACATCTAGCCCATTAGTCTTTCCACAGAACCACCATAACTATGGAACAGTAGTAAGTTTGCAAAATATATTGGTTGTCAGAAAAGTCGAGACGTATTTTTTCTATGTTTTTCAATGTGAAAAGCCAGCATGACTTTTCCGATAACCCGCTAATTTTACCATATTCATTACTAAGTATACTAGTAACCAGTTACCATCTACTTGAGACTTTTCATTTTGCAGGTGAAGAATGTCAAACCTTGACTCTCATTGGCCCTTGTCTGGCATTTCCTTTTTCCAGCCTGAGGCGTGCCCGTGAAACTGGTCTCCTCCTCATGGGTTGGTGTCCCTGAGGGTTTCTCTGAGCTCTGCATCACCCTGTGTTTTTGTGCCTTTAACAGTTTCACCACCAAAGATGACCTGGGGAAGGCAGCACCTCACCTCCTTACTCCGGGGCTGATGGGAGAATCTTCAGAGTCCTTCAGTGCCCCAGAGGATGAAGGCCAGAGAGAATCCCAGGCCGGTGACTCTGACTCTGACGGGCCCATCTTGTACACCGATGATGACGAGGAAGACGACGATGAAGATGGCAGTGGAGAAAGTAAGACTGTTTTCAGAGACAGGGAGGAAAGGGGGCAGTGGACAGAGCAGCTGCATTTTGTAAAGAACAGAAGCCTTGTTAGGAACTAGACATTTGATGTTTTCTCTCCCCGCATCTTCCTTTCTCAGTTAGAAACATGAGGGGACTTTAAAACATTCGTGGAATGATGGAATTAAAATAAGACTTTATTTTGGTGCAAAATTTTTGAGACCCATGGATAGTTTTTTTTAATAACACATTTTTTTCTGTGAACTTTTTGAAGGTTCTTCATGTAGTTTTAAGTTTAGCTTTTGATGGCTGACTTTTCCAGAAGATGGTGCCTCAGAGTTGGTCAGGCCTTTGTATCTGAGTCTGACATATTTGTACTTGTACAAGGAGCCAAAGCTTTCTCATGGCATAGGCCTTTCTTGGGATGATCAGAGATGGCCCCTCCACTCTGGAAACTTTCCTGAGAGAAAGCATCAATACAGGATTCACTGGCTAAATCACAAGGAGCCAAAGCTTTCTCATGGCATAGGCCTTTCTTGGGATGATCAGAGATGGCCCCTCCACTCTGGAAACTTTCCTGAGAGAAAGCATCAATACAGGATTCACTGGCTAAATCATGAAGGCGTTTGAGAAATTCATTTGCATAGATCCTGGATTTGAAAGAGGGGGAGGGGGAAATAAGTAGGAATGACAGTTACTATTTTAGAATTAAAAATAGTCTCTCATCCACAATCAATAAGCTAGGAGCCTCCTAAGAAGGAATGATACTAAAGGGGATAAAGCCCATCATTTATGTATAACTTACCAAACTGGGAAGTGCCATTATTATTTTTTTTTCTTAATTTCTGAGCCGGATGACTTGGGAGGGATCCATTATAGGACTGAATTTACAGATTAGGAAAAGCTATTACTGTATTAAACAGGAGTCTGTCTAATTCCCTCTCATTTTTATGGAGCAAATAAATAAATAAATAAAATGATCATCCCTCTAGTATTATGATCTATTGAGATTTTAAGTATTCCTGGGTAACTGAGGGTTAAAACATTGGTTTAAAAAGTAAACTCTTTGCCAGCACGGTATCTGAGTGGAAAAAAGGAGAAGGCAAAGATGAACTGTACAGTTAAGTAAATGGGTCAAGTTTGTGAGACTTGGAAAAGAAAAAATAAAGTAAAAAACATTATGCAATCAGTAAGTCCCACGATCCACCATCTCAGCAAAATAAACTTCAGCTGTTGCTCCCACATGATGAGGTGATACTTCCAAGTTTTTCATGGTATCCCAGTAGTTTTCAGAACATTTGAAAAAATAGTGCTTTCCATCTTTTTCAGAATGAACTATATCCAACTCCAAGTCTTTTTCCTTAGGTTGCTTAAGATCCCTCGTTCATGTGTGGATAAGGAATTCGGTCTGGGCTCTGTTTACAGTCCACGCCACATGTAAGCTTAGTGCTGCTGGCTGAAAGCCACTCTCTCTGCATCTCTGCCCTTTCCAACCCAGGTGCTTTGGCAAGTAAAATCCGTCGGAGGGATACTCTTGCTATCAAACTTGGCAACAGACCGTCTAAGAAAGAGTTAGAGGACAAGAACATCCTGCAGCGCACATCCGAAGAAGAAAGGCAGGAAATCCGACAACAAATCGGAACCAAATTAGTCAGGTAATGGCTGAAGCTTTAGGGCAACACGAACTAATTCCTGCTTTGTTTCTCTCCCAAAGTTTCCTACCTACCTGAGGTTGTTGTCGATTCCTTGTGCACGGGTGCATTGAACCTATTTGTTCTTACTAAGTTGGTCTTGGATGTGAACTTCTCAAAGAGCCGATGGCTTAGAGACTGCAGAGCCTGATCTAGGGGTGAACATTTTTTTAAAATGGTTTTTGCCATACGACACATGTGCTCTCTGAAGAAACACCGTATTTCTTCATAGTTTATCACAAGAAAGGGTCAAAATATGAAGTATCATATACCTGTCTCAATAAATGTCCAAGTGAGAATCTTCCCTCCAAGGGATGGCCACGTTGCAATTCCTTCTCCATTCTCCTCCTGGGACTTTGGGCATGCATGCACATACACCTGGCATGATTTTTTAAGCCTCCAGGTCCGGGACTCAAACCACAGTCAGCCATGTGGGAGTCCAGCACCTTAACTATCATGCCACCTCCTGGCCCCTCAACAGTTTTTCTATAAAGGACCAATTAATAAATATTTTTAGGCTTTCCTGGCCAGTCTCTGTTGCAGCTATTCAGCTGTGCTTTTGTGGCCAGAAAGTGACATCAATAAAGTATAAACAAATGAGAGTGACTATGTTCCAGGAGAAATTTTTTGTTCCAAAAAAGGTAACAGGCTACATTTGGCCTGCGGACCATATTGCTCAAGCCCTGGCCTAATGCAGGACTCCCAGCATACCCATGAGTGCTGTGGGCTCTGCCTGTGGGGCTGGGAGACCACAGACCCGTGAGTTACCTCAATGACTTGGCTCCATCCAAGTCAGGGAACCTGGCCCCTGTAGCTAACCTTCCTATGTTGACATTAAGTGAAAGGGTTAATTGACATCTGCCTTCATTATGTAGGATTTCTGCTTTTGCCACTGGTGACTTTGGGGGTCCATTTAACTGACTGAGTTTTCTTTTGTTTTAAGTTTATTTATTTTTTATGAGAGAGAGAGAGACAAGGAGAAACAGGCACCCCCCATAGAGTCCTACCACCAGTAGATTCAGCCACCTGGGATCACCTGGGATCATGCCCATGTATGCACTCACCCAGGCTGTGCGGGGAGATGTTGGACTCAAGTCCAGGAC